ATCTGACGGGCAATGCCATTATTCGTTGGTAAAAGAGTAGCCCAAGAGTTGGCGGTGGGTGGTGATGACTAGCTGCCTTCCCTCTAGTCTTACACTGCTAAAGTAGGAACGGCTAGCACAGATAGCCCTCATGTAGCTTTGCGCGAAATTCAAACCAAACTAAGAAAAAAAGGAGCAGTAGATAACTGTTTTCGACTGATCTAAATAGCATGTTTTTGATTCTAACTAACATATTTATTAGTAACTCCCAACTCCCGCCCGTGAAATTATAGATATCTAGCTAGCCACACCTAATTCGGGAAGGGAGGGCAACCGGTCAACAGCATCGTCGGTTACTTTTCACCGAATAACGGGTATGACTATCACACATTAGTTATAAAGCTCCAACAGCTGAAAGTGTGGAGCGAATTGAACTACATATCGAGACTCGATTTATAGAAGCATTAACCAAAACTAAAGTGAATGAAAACAAACTTAGCACGTATAACATGCCAAACCAGACGTGCTTTCTCATTAAAGGATACGCATAGCTGGGTAACAAGAGGGCATATGAAACTCCATTTTGAATATTTTTAGCCAAAGATTTTTTCGTCTGTTCTTCACAACTCCGTCCTCCCCACTTTTAAAGAAAGTTTGGCGTTCATTAAGGGCCGTAAAACTTACACATAACTAATAACACCGGTATTTGGAACTGCATCTCAGGACAATATCGCAGCCCATATTACGAGTTTAGCCTTTAATTTTATAGTTTTGTGTACTATAATAAACATTAAGTGGTTTTAAAATTTATCCAGTTTATGTTCTACCGAGATATAATTACTGTATTCAATGACAACTGCTTGTTTATCTTTGCTCAATAGAAAATCAGTAGAGGTACAAAAACCACAATTTTTCACGTAGATCCCTTTTCATCTGGTGTGAATATAAATGCGGTATAACTGAACTCCACGCAACAACTATCACCAGAATTTCCTCAAAAGAAATAAGCGCGAAAAAAAAAAACGAATTTCGGAAGTGAAGTTAAAATACGTTAATTTGACAAAGATTTCCTTTTTCGGGCTTCAACTACATGAGAACCTCCATGCCAATCGTGTATGCGTGCGTTTTTTTTTAAAGAAAATTCTTTCTAAGCTATACTACTGTTTATTTGAGAAGCACGTGGAAAACGGTTCTTTATCCGGGTTCAGCCTTCAAACAAAAATATCTCAGTCGTCGTTGAAGATACAGATTCACGACGTAACGAGAAGTGCCAAAACTAAAAATAAATAAATAAACAAATGACACATGCCAAGCTGCCAACTTTCTAGGCTCATGAGCACCAAGACTGACGAAACCGATATGGAGAGAGACCCGGATATAAAGAAAGTCCACGTGTGCAGGGAAATGATGGAAATACCAGATTCCATTCCCTCCTTAGAACTAACAACACTACGGCCTTCCTAACGATCCGACGATAAGTATCAAGTGAGGTTCGTAAAATATTGTTAGCAATGGTACCCAATTGATGAAAGAATGCAAAGTTTATTTGTTGAATTTTCGCACAAAGCTACATGAGAGATGCTAGCCGTCCCTCATTTTGAAATAATA